CGGGAGGGGAGCCTCGGGGCCTCGGAGGGAGAGCAGGATCAGGGGGTTCTGCTGAGGAAAGGAGGGTCCCGGCTTCACCTGCGGGGTGCGCTGGAAGCCGCGACCTTTCAATCCAGGGCAGGCGGCGGGTGCTCCTCCCAGGCGGGTGGACAGGCCTGGGAGTGGGGCCGGTCGGAGTAGGGAATGAGTCGGAATGAGAAGGACCCAGATCTATGAGGAAAGGAGAGGTCTGAGTACCTCCCGACGTATAGGTGGAGAATGGGGCCCCCGGGGATGTCAGGGGATGGGGAAACCCTGGTTTCTGAGGATCGGAGAGAAGATAATCGAGGTGAAGAAGCTCAGCGTCCCCCCACTTTCTGAAATATCAGGGGAATTGGCCCGGGGGAACCTGACCTGAGGGTCCAGGTGAAGGCGCGTCGAGCCTTGAGTGAGGCTCAGGGAAAGGCTTGGCTCTCCCAGGAGTGGAAGGAGACCGGCATTGCCCTCTCAAGATGAAATGAAGATCAAAACCACGTTATAGCAGATACAAAAGAGGCTTTGATGTCTGCTCAGGAGAACCAAGAAGTGGGTTTTATTCTCAGCCTGGAAGATGAAAGGGAGGAACAGGTAGATCCTTCTAGTCTTCACGGAGGGTTTATTCCCTCCCCACCACCCCCACCCCTGGCATCTGCAAAAGGTTATTAGTGAAGTGCTTTGGGAGGACTTTTTCATTAAGTGTTCGGACAGCCTCCCCTAATTTGTTAGCCTTTTATCAGTTATGTGTATTTAGTGTTTACCGACTTGATGACTTTCATTAATGAACCATTCATATTTATTTCAACAGGTATATCCAAAAGCTAACTTGTACACAACTTCCTTGGGTTAGTTTGGGCTCTGTTTTGGTCTTGTCCTAAGTCCCCTAGACTCTAGTAGGATGACTCTTCAAAGAAGGCTTTTATCCCATTGCTTCCTCACATTCCTACACGGTGATCTCCAATAATAGTGAGTTATCCTGAACTTCCTTTGCTCCGGCTGTTTCCCTCACAGTGGTCCCGTGTAGCCTTTCTGTTGGCTTCAGTTACATCTGGAAGCACTCTGGATCACCTACTAAGTACACGAGAAGGAGTAAAGAAGGGGGGGAAATAGTCAAGGAATTTTGGCCTCAAATTTTAACTTGGAAATTTCTTAAGACTAGACTACACAGTCTACAAAAATTACACTACAGTATGCAACACATAAATACTTTTGGGGGCTAGAAAACTTCAGGATATCTGGCATTTCTGTTATTTCGTATCAGTTACCAACTCACATGTTCCTGTGATCAAGTGACACTCATACTTAATCCCTTGCCATGTTTTAAACCTTAGTTTTCGGGACCAAAAAATGAATTTCATTCAGAGTAAGTCAGTTGTGATTTGTTTAGTTTTCCAATAGCCTAGGTAAGCAGTCGTGAGTTTACTTTCAAGGTGTCTTTTTTGTCTTTGAGAATAAGTACAAAATAATTTTAACTTTTCACATAAATTTGACATCTTAACTTTGTGTGTTCTAGAATTACAGGAAGTGTTGTGTGATTCCACAATGAATACTCGAAGGCCCTTTCCATTAAATACCTGAAGGATCAACTAACTTTCTCTCTTGCCTCAGGAGTTTTTGTTGATATAAACAAGAGCTGTTTTTCAGTTTACACTCAGCTCAAAGAGATGACCTTGCAGTTAGCCAGTGTAGTCTGAAGATCTGGTTTCGGGTTACTTGCTAGGAATATGGTATTTACAGTAATAGAGTGAGCCCAAACTAGCTTCTCTAAAGAATATCAACATGGTTCTCCAAAGAATGCCATGTTGACTGAATCAGACCTGTGTCTCTGACTGATACTTTATGGATAATTATTATTATCCTCTTTGATAAACTCTCAGAAAGTTAGAGAAGCAGCCAGAACATTCCTCTTGAGTGCCAAGGTGTGGGTAGGGTAAGGAATAAAGTATGAGTTTCTATTGAGGAAAGTATTAATCAAGCTGTTAGTCGGCCACTTAGTGTTGTAGGGAGGGCCCAACCATAGGGTAGAAGGTTGAAATTAGAAGCATTCTTCTAATTCTGCTTCTCTAACCCATTAATTCACCTAAACTATTTTTAAAATTTTAAGTCACTTTTTGGGGATAATAAATTCCATGAGTTTGATACATGTTAAGATATTACATCTTTTAAATTCATTAAATATGTAATGGTAACAATAGTGCTTGACAATAAACGTGTTCAACAAATGTTAGTGGTGATTTTTTTTTTTTTTAAGAATATCTTTTTTTGCCCTACCCGGTTTGGCTCAGTGGATAGAGCGTTGGCCTGCGGACTGAAGGGTCCCAGGTTCTATTCTGGATAAGGGCATGTACCTTGGTTGCGGGCATATCCCCAGTAGGGGGTGTGCAGGAGGCAGCTGATCGATGTTTCTCTCTCATCGATGTTTCTAACTCTCTATTCCTCTCCCTCTCTGTAAAAAATCAATAAAGTATATTTTTTAAAAAAGAATACCTTTTTTAAATATATTTTTTATTGACTTCAAAGAGAATGACAGAGATAGAAACATCGATGATGAGAGAAAATCATTGATTGGCTGCCTCCTGCACGCCCCCTCCTGGGGATTGAGCCGCCAGGCATGTGCCCTTGACTGGAATTGAATCCAGGACCCTTCAGTCTGCAGGCCAACGCTCTATCCACTGAGCCAAACCGGCTAGGGCTAGCTGTGATTATTTTAATTTATCCTACATTTTTATAGTTTAAACTTTGAATATAGTTTGGTTCAATTCCAGGGCTTGACAATATGTATGTACTTCATCATATCCCTTTTTGGTTTTTTCTAGACTCACAGAGCCTAATTGCTTTGGTTCTACTGCCAGAAGCCAGCCACACTAGTCCATTGATTCTCTTCTTTTTCTGGGTTTAAACCTTTAATTTACAGAAGTGCGTAATTTAGTTGCTTTTT